CCAGTGCGTCGCGTGCTACCAACTGTTGAGCGCCAAATCACCAACGGCAAAAGAGGAATAAATTTAGGGTGCTTATACAACACTTAGCAACGTGAATAAATAATCGATTCATTGCAAGTCAAATGTTTATTAAGAAAAAACTAACAATATTTTGTACAAGTCAGATTCAAATAATTCAGAATAAAATAATTTTACATATGATACGAGACTGTATGATATGAAATGTGTGTTATGTGTGTCGTATGATATGAAACTCATATTAGTTTGGAGGATACTTGTAATATTAATAGTGCAGTTAAAATGTGTATTAGATAAAATAAACTCATTTTCGCGGCATTCCACCACTCGAAACTCTTGTCCAGTAATCATATTTACTGACGATCTGACGGTGTAGCCACTGGAAGTCGACGCGCTAGTTCGTCATCGAAAGTCATTTATTTACGTATCTTTTGGTTCAGGAGAATTATTTGCATCCATTTTTACTCAAACCAAGGTATACGAATATTATTTTAATAGATATATTGCAAGCAGTGTTGCCCACCATATCGTAGTAAGGTACCACAACAACAGCATCCGTTTGTTTACTATCGCAGTAATGTAATTTTTCGCATAAATCGTGTGATTTTATGGTGACCGATAAAATGCGAAACATACCACGAAATGTTAGTGTTATTACTGCCTCGTCTAAATGAAAAATTTCTGCTCCGTTACGCTCCGCCTCAAATTTTAACTTTTGGCCTCTGCATTAATAACACTCATAACCTCTCTAGATATGTTAATAACTATAAGCGTACTATACTGTTATGGCGCGAAATTTTACGTGTGATACGAGAATAATGGTTACTATTCAATTAACAATCAGACTGTCATTAAATTTGTATTTCATATTGTTTTGTCCAGGCATTTTTTAGATAGTTATTTTAAAAATAATTTAATACACTCACACATCAGACAGAAAAAATATAATTGCTTTAAAACCTTTTAATAAAATATTCGATTAATTTCTTGTCTTTCAACTCCCTTAGTTTCGAGGATTTATTTTCTTCTTGAGGAGAGTATACTTTTTTCATTTTTTAAAGTACGTTTCTTACTCAATTTAAGAATAAATCCAAGAGTTCCTCAACCTTTCATGAAAGTCTTCTCTGCATTCTGTAGTGTTAGAGACCTGTGTGAGCAAGTGCTTTGCTAATTGGAGAATTGGATCTTTGAAAATTTTGAAAATGTTGCCATTTAATGTTCAGTGATCTTCAGACGTCCACTGGCACCACCGACACAATATATAAGTACTTCGAAAGGAAATACACTATTTGATGTGTGACCGGAGTAGACTGCACTGTAATACCGCATTTGGGATTATCTATCTATATTTTTAATTTTTTTTTTCGAGGTGAACTGTTGAAATCTTCAACAAGACGAAGAGGAGCCAGCACTCCTCAACAGTGTGAGATTTTTACCCACTAAAATCACAAGCCCTTTATGTTCCTGGCGTTATCCACCCTGGAACCGCAATTATGTATTACTTCAGGATGGTGCCAGCTGTATTACTTCGAGGTGCTATTCAGGTTCAGCTATGACTGGTTCCTTTCGTCTTCTTCGTTCATCTTGAGAATGGCGGTGATATATTTCTCTATTGCTGTCCACGTCTCCTTGTTTCAGATCATTAGTGTAAACAAGTTTTCTGGTGAGACATTACACCCGACCTCCCATATCATGCTATGCCTTAGCGTGTCCCATCTCGGGCAATGGAACAGCGTATTGTAACGTATTAGCCAGCGTGCCTCATGGCATCTATTTGGGACGCTTGGTAGAGGATTAGCCTCGCCACAGGAAGAAGGGTTTTTCCGTAAAGGCAAGAACGCGGAAACGGGAGACACAAGGCTTTGGCGTCTTCCGGCTTATAGAAACTTTTCACTGTTATAACAAGCGAGGGGGTGGCGTGACGTAGTAGGTCACGTGGGCCTCGCCTATATAACAGACTGTACAGAGCCAGCGGGTGGGTTCTGGAGACAGTGGGAGAACCTCGTGCGTGTGCACAAAACTTGGCGCCACGACGGTGCATATGCGAGCCAGGTTCGCGAGGCTCGAGTCACTAGTTGACGAAGACTGCGGACTTTAGGTCCTTGGGTGACGGTTCTGCGGTCACTGGGGAGCGATCCTGTGGGCGTGCTCCGAGGTTAAGAGTGGTTGAGTGCCACGATTCACGCCGATTCTCAATCGGATAAGATTTCTCCTGCGATCGAGGCAAACCAGCCGTTGGTGCGCCAGAACGGACTTTGTGTCCCAGCGTGACATCCGGTCACGGAACCTAGGCTTTATGCACGCTTCAAAAGTAGGAGTGGCGAATGCCACAATCAAAACCATCTTCAATCGGGTTTGGATCGCTCCCGCGATCAGGGGATAGTAGGTCTATCAGAGCTAGGGTGTAAGTAGATTATTAAGTGTATATATTTGTTTTGTTTTCTTTGTTAATAAATGTGTTATATGAAAGCTCTGTGTCTGTGGTCGCTGTGAGTATCCATGACGTCACAGTATGTTCAGCGTCGTCCACTTCATGGCTGCAGTAGAAGCATACCGCGTCTTCAGTCTTTCTGAATCTTTTAAGGTATGCCTTAAAATATCCATGCCCTGTGAATGCCTGAGTTAAGTGGTGTCACGGACCCATGTTTGCGGCTTATCCATTTGGATACATTTGGGATGAGCCTATGAGTCCATCTGCGGGTCTCCTCTCTGTCCCAGAGTTTCTGCCAGCGGTGCATCACGTTTTCTTTATCCTTTTTAATTGTGCTATTCGTATCTTGATGCGTTCGCTGTCTGTTGCTGTCGTTGTCATGGGAGTAGTCCGAAAATTCTTTTCTTTCTAGAGCTAGCAGGTCAATAGGAGGGACGTTCGCTAGCGCAAAAACAGCATTTCCGGATACAGTTCTATACGTCGATGTAATGCGTAGGGCCCCTTTCCTCTAGTTTCCTTCTCATTTTATTGTTTTGAAGAGATTCTGCCCAGATCGGAGCTCCATAGAGCATTTTCGAGTGCATCACACTCATAAGAAGTCGTCTTTCCTTGTCGCTGGGGCCCCTGGTGTTCGGCATCAATCTTGAAATCGATGCTGCTCTACAAGTGCTTTTTCCGTCGTCTCAGTAACGTGTGGTTCAATACTTAGCTTCCTGACAAATTCCATTCCTAGGTAGCGAAGGCTCTTGCGACATTGCATTATTCCCTTGCCTATTAGGAATGTTGGGGTGGGGTAGGATCGTCTGTCCGTGATGAGTAATGATTCCGTTTTATGGGCTACCTTACGGTTTATTGGACGTCAGTCACTCTCCTCAGGGTCGTTCACGATGACCTCTAGTAGGGCCGACTTTTCCGCCATGGCCACTATTATCGCATCGTCTGCGAAGTCCACTATTGAGGCATTTTGCGGGAGTTTTATGTCCAGTAGACTCTCGTACATATTATTCCATAAGACAGAACCAAGGAACCTTGTGGGATATCACAGGTTCTTTCAATTTCAATATGTTCCCTACGCATTTGTAAATTGTCTTTTTGTCGCTTAGGTAGCTCCTTATCATTCTGGTGTGGAGGTATTCTTCTCTAGCAGAGCCTTGATCATTTCCTCCCATTGGGCCGAGTTAAAGGCGTTCCGGATATCGAGCGTAACGCGGGCACAGAATTCTTTGTTTGCTCCCTCTTTGGCTCCTCTGACCTTTTCTACGACTTTCTTGATGAATTCGATTGTCGATCTACCTTTTCGAAAGCCATATTGCGTTTTCGAAAGATCGCACGTTTCCTCTAACCATGTCTGTAGTATTTCCCGTACAGGGTCCTCGAATACTTTTCCCATCGTGTCTAGTCTATCTATATCTATCTACTTACCTACCTACCCTACGTACCTACCTATCTGCAATATATCTACTCGTAAGTCCGCGTATGTCTGCAGAATCAAAAGTACAACATATACGTGCTCCCAGATCAACTGGACAACTTCTTAAATTTTTGCTGTAATCCTAATTTGCGAAACTTTATTTTCCGAATAACCTCCAGCAAATTTTTACTTTCCTATTGTAACGTTCCTCGTGGTGAATTAAAACCAACAGAATATGTAAACAAAAACGTTTATTCGTGAAC